GGAGGGATGGGAGTGTGGTGGGGGGAGGGGTGCTGTGTGATGTGTGGACACCAGCCCGGTTGTCAATAAGTAGCTGTCAGGCCGCGGTTTCCCTCTCAGCCGGCGTCCCGTACGTGTGGCACCCACCACAGCAGCAGCTGTAACCCCGACTGCCCTGGGCTGAGCAGATCACAGCGGCTAGAGACCTGATCTGGGATCTGATTTGCCAAAAGCGCTGAGCCCCCGCCCGCGGAAAACCCGCCCCTTTAAGGTATCTCATGTCCGGCACTTATCACTTTTGAAATCTCCGCCCTGAAATTTTAGTGGCAGAATCGCTGGCCTGAGAACCACCCAAAAGCCTGTGTCTGCAGTCAGAAACCTCCAGTTCAGACATGTACTAGAGTCAGCTCCCCACTTCAGGTCACCTGTCTGCTGCCTCAGTTTCCCCTTCTGCACACCATGGTGAAAGCACCCAGACTCAAATGGTGCAGGTCACATCCCCTTCGGCATTGACACGTCTTGGCCAGCGTTAGCTGGTTCTGAAATGGCTGGCACGTGTCACACCCTTGCCGCTGACTGGCGGGGACTCAGGAGATATACAGTCATAGTCACTTTCTTCTGCACGGAGCATTTATAACAGGGAAGAGGGGCTGGGGGTGGCAGGGGACAGGGCTTAGCAGAGAAGGAAACCCCCATGTCAGGGAGTGGTACGTGCCAGCTACTTCCGAACCAGCTAACGGCAGCAGAGACGTGTCATTTGGGGTGACCCCAGACGTGTTCTGTCCTTGCCCAGGACCATTCACTTGACCCACATCCAGAGCCTTTTCCCTTTCTCTGGGTCTCTGCAGCCTCTGCCTATGACACAGGGCACCTTAGATCTAGTTTCCTAGAGGTGACATGCATGAGCCTAGCGTGTGCCTTCTGACTCCCAACTAGATAAGGTCCAGGCCTGTATCAGATGCCCCGGGGCATGTCCCTGTGCCCCTGCACCAGTGCCCTGTCACAGGAGGGTCTGGGGAACACCTGTCCACTAGAAACTGCCTGAGGCCCAGCCGCTCATTTCACTACATTAGTGCTTATTAGAGACTGGAAATCCTTTGGGGAGGGGGTGGTAGTGCCAGGCCTGGCTCAGAAGCCACGCCCTGTAAGTTCATTGGCCGCTGAATCCATGTCTTCAGGGCTGATCCTGATGGCACGGCTCGGGCGCCGGGGCAGCTCCGAAACCAGCAAGGGCCTGTTTTCCTGTCTCCGAGCCTTGAGCCTGGTTACGGAACACAGTGATGGTCGCATCTCCCCCAGCAGCATTTCAGTCCCGTTATAAGAGGGACAGCAGTGCTGTGAGCAGGGTCCCCGGCCCCAGTGCTGCCCAGACCTGTCTGCTTGGGGGTCCCCAGCACTGCCACCCAGAGCAGCTCCTCTGGGCCGCCTGTGGGCCGGGGGTGGGCGCGAGGAAGGTGGAGGCTGGAGGGAGATCCCTGCACAGGTTTCCAGCACACTGACTGGGACTTTGGCGACAATACAAGCAATTGGAAGTGGGTTTTGCGTTTCCCAGGGCTGTGTGGCACATGGAGAAGGGGCGCGTGTTAACACAGCTGGGCGTGACCCCTGGGGACCAGGACGGGGCAAGGCCAGAGGTTCTGTTCCAAGCCCAGACCTAGACCGACGTGGGTTTGAAACCCAGCTCTGAATTCTGAAGCCAGGGCCCATTTCAGGTCTGCAGTGTCTTGCTCTGGGATGAGAGGGGTCTGACCCGCACAGGGGTGCTATAAATAACACTAGCATCAATATCCCCCCCACCCCCAGCAGCTACAGAGCCCTCCCTCCCCATCCCCTGCTCCCCCCCCGTCCCCCACCGGACAAGTGCCTAGGCCCAGTCTCCCACCTCAAACCCTTCCCCAGCCTAGTCACTATTCCCGCAGCTGCGCATGCAGAGACTTCCAGACCCCGCCTCCCAGCTGTCGCATGTTCCCCATCCCGCCCCCCCAGCTCTCCTGCCTCCCCCGCTCGCCTACAGAGGCTGGTGTGTGAGCGGCGAGCCTGGGTGCCGTTTAGAAACCGCTTTGGGAACCTGCTGGGCGAAAGTCGGGGCACAGGAATTACTTTAGCCGGCGACCACTGAAATGCAGCCACCTCTGGGATGGAGCACAGCAGCTGGTTGGCCACACACTGCAGCCAGGGCAGGAGAAAGCTGCAGGAGGGAGTATAAGAAGGGAGAACATTGCCCACGCTGGGATTTGGCCAGGACGCCAGGGTGCTCCCGCCATGAAAAGCACCGGGGAACATCCCATGTTAGCTAACCCCCCTCTAGCAGCGTGTTGCAGTCCAGAGACAGAGCATGAGGCTAGTGCTTAGAGGCGAGGGGGGAGCAGGGGTTAATCCCAGCTTCCCAGAGAGCAGGCGGCCTCCCCGGCACACACACACCCCGCTCTCCTGGCTGCTGGTATCCTGTGATGGAAAAAGGGAGCAATGCACAACGAACTGGGGGCCTGGCAGGGCCAGGCAGTAGGTGCAGCTCCTCCCACAAAGCCCCGAGCCTCAGACAGTGCCTCTGCGGGCAGGGCCGCTGGAGTCAACACATGACGGCATCTCTAACGGGCGGGGAGGGGAAACAGGAGGCGCTGGCAGGGGAGGGGCACCTGGCGCCTTCCCTTGGCTCCCGCTGGTGGAATTCTCCATGTGGTCCCCCAGTGCTGCCAGTCAATTCCACCACGGCCTCCCCCAGCTGGAGATCGGACAACTCCTCAGACACCAGCCGTTTCCTGGGAGCTGGACGATCAACCCCAACGATTCTGGCGGAGGGTCAAGCCGCTCTCCACACCCTGGGGCAGGGAACAGGGGCAGGAAAGGTGCTTCCCTCCCCGGGCGCGTTGGCTGGGCTCCCCCTCCTCTGTGACATCGAGCAGGGTTAGGACGGGGTAGGGATCTCCCACGTGATTGGTGTCCCGGGACAGCGTGGGCAGGTGTCCGTGGACCTTGGTTCTTGGTTGCCTTAATGTGTCACCTGCCTGAGGTGGGAGGGATCTCCAGCTGCCGAGCTCAATGGTATCCAGTGGCATGTCCCCTGCAGGGCAGGAGGACCACTCAGGCTCCCACTGCCAGGACAC